CAAAGTGAGAAGAACCAGAGCTAGAAACTTGGTTTCTTGCCTTTCAGCCCAGGGCTCTTTCCTCTCACTCTGCAGCCTCAATGCAGTACAGCAATTCATACCCCAAGTGATTTCAGTGCTGCTGCCAAGCTAACATGGAAAATGCCCAGACTCTCTGCCCACTTCCATCCCTATGTTCATTTCCCTATGCATTGAAATGTATGTCCATGCTGCAGCGCATCCTGAGACTGACCATTCAGGGTAACCCACAGGTGCTTGAGCGGACCTGCTTGGGACAGCAGCTGTGCATATGTATGGCTCTGCTGCATTGAGAATGCCTGGGCATAACTCATCCTGACATTCTGCTTGGAAGGGAGTGCTGGGCTTGAGGGAAGCAATGTTTCCCTACACTCTCATAGTTCACCAATAATTACTGGGCCTCTACTGTGTTTTAGGCACTAAGCCATGAACTTTCCATTTGAAGATTCTCACTCTCCTCTGAATAGTTGAGGAAATTCAGACGTAGGCAGGATAAGTGACCTACTAATAGGAACAGTAGGGATTGGCGCGCCAAGATTTGAACCCAAATTTGCATAGTTCCATGGTGACCCATCAATCAAAGTCCGTCATCTAACAGAGGAGAGTTGTGGTGCTCCCACCACTGCAGGCGTTGTGATCCTGCACAAGTCACACATCCTGTTTGAACTTCAGCTCATTCTCAAGCTGAAGAATGTGAAAGTGCACTTCTGTAGGGTGCTTGTGAGGAACAGAGATGAAGCATGTGGCGGGTACTCAGTAAGTGTTTGCTGCTAGTGTGACTATGACTATTATTGCACAAGCTCTGAGAAGGCTGGATGGGCATCCACACACCCAGCAACTCCTCAAGTTCTTGGCAGAGAAAATATCCAGTGTTCTAGGAAGGAAGGAGAAAGAGTGTGAGGACAAGAACACCCCAAGTGCTAGATGGGCTTATTTCTGCCCCATATTCTTATGACCTCAAAGCGTGGGGAGCACCTGGCTGGATCAGGCATGTCACTGGGCTCCCAGAGGTGGTTCAGTACTCCTCACCCCTCATGTTTATGATGAACCTGAGGCCATTCTTAGCCCTCAGAGACTCTGCCTTCACAAACGGATTCCAACATCCTCCCTTGGCAAGAGGAGCTCTGGTGTGAGAGGACAGCTGAGGATACAGCCTCACACCCACTGCCCTGCTGGCTACTCACACCTAACAGACAGGACTAATGCAACTCTCACCTTGCAGATGAGGACACTGAGGCCCAGCAGATAAGGAAACTGAGGCCCAGCAAGGTAAAGCAACATGCCCAAGGTTACTGAGCCAAGGCTCAATGTCTCCCAACTCTCAGAAAAGGGCTTTTTAAATGAGTCTCATCATGCAAAATGCCAGGCTGGATAAAGCACAAGCCAGAATCAAGATTGCCAGGAGAAATATCAGTAACCTCAGCTATGCAGATGACACAACCCTTACGGCAGAAAGTGAAGAACTAAAGAGCCTCATGATGAAAGTGAAAGAGGAGAGTGAAAAATTTGGCTTAAAACTCAACATCCAGAAAACTAAGATCAAGGCATCTGGTCCCATCACTTCATGGCAAATAGATGGGGAAACAATGGAAACAGTGACAGACTTTATTTTTTTGGGTTCCAAAATCACTGCAGATGGTGACTAAAGCCATGAAATTAAAAAACGCTTGATCCCTGGAAGAAAAGCTATGACCAACCTAGACAGCATACTAAAAAGCAGAGACATTACTTTGCCGACAAAGGTCCACCTGGTCAAAGCTATGGTTTCTCCAGTAGTCAGGTATAGATGTGAGAGGTGGACTATAAAGAAAGCTGAAGAATAAAGTGCTGAAGAATTGATGCTTTTGAACTGTGGTGTTGGAGAAGACTCTTGAGAGTCCCTTGGACTTCAAGGAGATTCAACCAGTCTATCCTAGAGGAAATCAGTCCTGAATATTGATTGGAAGGACTGATGCTGAAGCTGAAACTCCAATACTTTGGCCACCTGATGCGAAGAGCTGACTCATTTGAAAATACCCTGATGCTGGGAAAGACTGAAGGTGGGAGGAGAAGGGGATGACAGAGGATGGGATGGTTGGATGACATCACCGACTCGATGGACGTGACTTTGAGCAAGCTCTGGGAGTTGGTGATGGACAGGGAAGCCTGGTGTGCTGCAGCCCATGGGGTCACAAAGAGTTGGACACGACTGAGTGACTGAACTGAACTGAATGAGTCTCAAATTAATTGCCCATCCTAAAACTCTTTCAAGGAAAAAGGCAGGTGCATAAATTCACAAACCAAACAACAAATATAGGCATTGCTAATTATCATTGACTGTGGGATGTTTCAGGGAGGGTCTCAGCCAAGTCTGTTCAACTAATTACCCTGATCCCCGACCCTGACCAGAGCTGACTGATTGCAGGAAACTGGATTGATTCAGAAGCTGGGGTGAGGGAAACAGTTTGGTTTCCCCCCCTCTGGGAACCTGGTGTGTGCAGGAATGAGTCATGCTGGATGAGAGCAACTGACTTTTATAATCACGTGGAGCAGCTCCTGCTCATCCCCCGACAGGGCCCTGGAAGAGCCTTTGCAGGTACAGTGAGGCTGGACAGGAGGAGATGGATGGAAATCCACGGGATGTCAGCAGGGCTCCTTGGCTCACAATTTGTCTCAGCCCTGAGCCCCAGGCAGGTGGGACTCCACATAGAGATGATTCCTACAAGTGCCAAGTCTCCCAAAGTTCAAGGGCAGTCTGTTATTTTAATCCCAGATGAAAGCAAGAGAGACAGTAGGCTGGCCTCCAAACTGCTGGAGCCCTGACCTGGGGGCGTTCATCCCCCACCCCCACACACTCACTGTTTGCAGATGATGAGCTAGGACCTTGGGGGGGCAGCCACTTGCCCAAAATCTAGAACTGCCCTGGTAGTTGAGCCGGGACTGGGTCTGCAGGTCCTCTGCAGTCTGCTGCAGTCACTTCACTCCAACTTCAGTCACCTGATCACTCACCCAGGTGAGACTTTTAATTCCAAACAACCATTCTCAAACCCCAAACCTGGAGCACTCCATTTTTCTATGGAAGTTGTGAAAAAAATAGGTGCAAAAACAGTGGAAACAGTGGCAGACTTTACTTTTTTGGGCTCCAAAATCACTGCAGATGGTGACTACAGCCATGGAATTAAAAGACGCTTACTCCTTGGGAGGAAAGTTATGACCAACCACATGGGGTCTCAAAGAGTCGGACACAACTGAGTGACTGAACTGAACTGTGAAACAAGCTCACACCAATAAAGGTAAATGAAAGAGGAAACCTGCAGAAGGACAGATCTCTTTCTCTTCTGAAGATGTCACTGGAATCATTTTCATCTAGTCTTACCTGCCTTGGGGAAAAGAAGGGGGCTGCTAAACAGAACTTTGTTCTATAGACCAGGGGAATCCTGCCCACAAAAGACAGCGCCACAGGCAAACCTGCACTCTCACATCATCACAAGGGCTTCCTTGCAGGCCTTTGGATCACCTTGGCAGTGCACTGGCTTCAACCAGACCACATCTAGACCAAATGTATCAGCATCTCCAGGAGGGCGGCCCAGGCATCAGTATTTGTAAAGCTCCTCAGGTGATTACAGTGGGCAGCCCCAATTGAGCACCATCCCCTTCCTACTCAAAGCAGCACTGGCATCACCTGGGAGCATGTTAGAAATGCAGAACCGCAGGCCATTCCTCGGTTCTACTGCATCAGAACCTACACTTAACAAGGTCCACGGGTGGTTTCTGAGCTCACTAAGGTCTAAGAAGCACTGAGCGAAGGTACTCCACATAGCCCGTTTCTACACCTAACAGCAGCATTGCAAGGCAGGTGTCCCATTCCACAGGTCAGGAAACTGATCCTGAGAGAGGTTAACCCACTGACCCCAGGTCACACATTTGGTGAGTAGGACGGCCAAGATGTGACCCTGGACTGGCTCCAAAGGCCTGACTTTGCACTACACAAACCACTTCCTATAACACAAAAATATGACCACGGGGGTCCCCTGAATGTTTGGGTTCTCACACTCACTGGGCATGCACCACCTTTGAATAGGATTCCACTTGCAATGTCAAGTTCCCTGGAATCAAACTTCAAAAAGGCCAGCATAATTCATGAGGAAATACAAATAGTAAACAAACACATAGGGAAAAGGTTTTACTCTCCCTAGTAATCAGAGAAATGCAAATTAGAGCAATATTGAGGAGCCATTTTCTAGCTATATAATTAGCAAAAATTAAAACAAGAAAAGAATGTCAGCAGAGTTGTTTTGAAATAGGCACATGCATACACGACCAGTGGCAGTATAGATTTATATAACCCTTGAGGAGAATAATATGGCAACATCCATCAAGAGCCATAAATATATTATGCCCACTGACCCTGGGAAGTCACCCTAAGGAAATAATTCAACAGGAGGGGAAAAGCCTTTGGTAGGAAGATGCTCATTGCACATGTGTTGTGAACTTTGGAAACAACTCAGTATTCAGCACTAAAGGAATGGCTGAGGATCCTGGGGGTCCATCAACTCCTGCTGTGTTATGCCACCACTAAAAATGGATAATCAAGAAGCCCCAGCAGCAAACATGGGTGAAATAAAGCAAAATACAAAGTCTTGTGGTTATTATGTGCTCTGTGGTTATTAGGATGGAAAAATATTATGTACATAGGATATGAACAGGCAGGAGCTGGGTCCAAAGGAGACAACTGGTATTTCAGGGTGAGGAGACAATGGAAAGACACCTTCTTTCCATTACACTTTGTAGTTACAAACCTCAGCAGAACTGGCCTTGGAGAACAGCCATGGCAGCTGTCTGGTCATAGCCTCTGAGTGGCCCATGGAGACACTCATTCATTCTTCATCCCTGGGCACAGGGCCGCACTCCCTGATTCCACCCAGAAGTGGGAGAAGCTGGCCCCTCTCCTCTGTGGGGGCAGGGGTGGGCAGAGAGGCCAGGGGAGCCCCCTCCCATCTTACCATGAAGCCCGGGGCACAAGTGCAGCTCCCTGTGATGCTGTGGCAGTCGGCACCGTTCTGACAGGTGCAAGGCAGCTGGCAGCCGTCACCATAGTAGCCAACGGGGCAGGACTCATTGCAGTGGTAGCCAGACCACCCCGGCTGGCAGGTGCAAGCTCCAGTCACTGGGTGGCAGCTGAATAGATGAGAGAAGGATGAGAGGACAGTCTGGTCAGGAATGCGGCCATGTCCCACCCTCTGCCCACCCCAAGTCTGGTCTGCCCTTGGTGCAGGATCGAAGCGCCTCTGATGTTAAACTGCTTAATGTTTTTATTTTATTTTTTATTATTTATTTGGCTGCACTTTGTCTTAGCTGCAGCATGCAGGATCTTTAGTTGCACCTTGTGGGATCTAGATCCCTGACCAAGGATCAAACCTGGGCCCCCTGCATTGGGAGCATGGAGTTTTAGCCACTGAACCCTGAGGGAAGTCCCTTTTGCTTTTTTAAAAAAAAATTTCTAGCTTAATGTTTTGTTTATTTGTCAGAACATGCCAAGGTTACACGGTCTTATAAGCCCAAGAAACGGAGGCTCATAATTGTTAGAAAGTTTGCCTAAAGTTACACTGCTAGGAAATGCAAAATCAGGATTAGACGTAGGTCTCCTGACTCCCAAACAAGTGCTCTTTATAATACAAATACAGAGACCAAAGCAGGAGGCGGCCTTTGCAGGTCCTTCCCTTGTGTACTGTGAGGTTCAGAGCTTCACCCACTCTGCACCCAAAGCAGATGCCCCGTGTGTGGGCAGACACTGGGGGCTGCACTGAGGCCCAGTGGGTTTGTATAATGTAGGTGCTTACTGAGCATTTGCTGAGTTAAAATGGAACCTCTCGGCAGATGTAGCCTCCCCTCTCTGGCAAAGTCTGTGTTGGAGAGGACACCCTCCATTCATGCACTGCTAGGGCTCTTTAAGACTGAGCAAGATCATCTCCATCCCTGGTCTGGCTAGGCCAGAGAAAGAACCCTTGACTAGAGGTAACGGCTGCCTGGAAACCTCTAGAGAGATGGGCAACCTCTGGCTGGGAGAGTCTGATCCAATAGCCAATATGCATTCACGTTAGAGGAGATGCTGAGTGTGGTGACCATCTTCTTCTTAGAGTTTCTGCGGGGAGTGTAATTGACTGATGTTCCCACCTACTGTGTCTGAAATCCAGATAATCTACCTAAAGTCACATTGCAAGGAATTGCAAAATCAGGATTGGACACAGGTCTCCTGATTCTCAAACAAGTGCTCTTTACAATACAAATCCACAGAGAACAAAGCAGGAGGCTTTGTTTTCTCCGCAGTCACATTCCCCCCAGGCTCCTCTCAGCTAGAGCACAGCGGTATTATATCAAGGTCGACATATTCCTGGGAAGTGTGGGACTCCTCTGATGGGCAATTTGGCTGAAAGACTCCCCATCATGTGAAACTTTCTTTGAACTGTGCTTCAGTTTAAGACTTTGCATCTAGCCTTCCTTCCTCCTCTGTTTCCTTCACACAGGTCAGATCTGCCTTACAGTCCATGCTTTTCTAGCCTCCCTAGCTCCTTCCCCATTTTCCCTCACGGCTGTGTTCCTAGTAAAACCTCTTGCATTTGGCATCTGCTTCTGTGGGGGAGAACCCCGACTGACACTGTGGAGAAGATGCTGGATGGTACAGACAAGACTTTTGGATTTCCGGTGTCATCAGACTCCCTGCTATGGAGTCCAGTCCAAGGGTTGTGGTTGAAAGGCACACTCTGGGCTGGCAGGAGGAGCATACATACAGATCTCGCTTCTGCTAAGTTCCACATAGGTTATGGGCCTCATCTCCCTGGGGCGTTGGTGGATCCCCAGTGCCAGGCTCATATGCACTGCCCAATTAAGAACTCGGGAATGAATAGCACTTTTACTACAAGTAATTATTTTCTCTCTGCTGACTTGTTTATCATCTGTCTCCCCACCAGGTGGCAGCTCCCTGGTGGGGGGTAGTGTCTGTCTCTTTCACTTCTGCATCTTACCCCAGTGGCCAGCAGTGTCCCTGGCACCGGGAAGATACTTAATACATATTTGGCAAATGAATTAATGAACAAACTAATTGTGTGAAGCTCAGCCAAGCCAATTCTCCTCTGGGAGCTCTGATTTTCTCATGGAAAATGAGGGATGGACAGGAGCAGACAGTTCCTGAATGGTAAGTACAAGTAGCTAAAAATCATTTTGGAAAATGTTTAGTTTCATTAATTAATTGTTCAAGTCAAAACAACAGCTGGATATCATGTTTTCTCTATCGAAAAGGTAAAGTTTCTTTATTATTATTATTTTAAATGGACAATACTCAATGCTGGTAAAGGTTTCTAGAAAACAATTTGGGGTTGTGTATCAGGAGTCCTAAAAATATTCAGACCCTTTGGTCTTGTAATTCCATTTCTAAGAATCTATCCTAAGGAAATGATCACAGTTGTGGAGAAAGATTTATGCATGGAGATGTTCCCCGAAGCATTATTTATATCAGTGGAAAATTGAAGTAATTTAAATAATAATAAATAATATGTGACTAGGCTATTAAAATACCAGACACTTTACACCTATATTTCTAATCTTCAAGTAAGCCTGTGAGTTAGGCATTAGTGCCTCTATTTTTCAGATGGCACTTGGAGGTTATATGACTGGCCCAAGGTCACAAAGATAACTCAGCGGCAGCTGGAATTCAAACCCAGGTCTGTCTGGCCATGTCCTAGTCACTGTGTCATGCTGCCTCTGACACCAGGATACTGGTTAAAAGAATTATGACAATTCATATGAAGGCATGGTAGAGAAGTACGCAAATGTTTTCCAGCCTATTTAATGATATGACATAAGGGTAAATGAAATAAGCAAACTGTATATCAATACACAGTCATGATCTAAAATATGAAAAAAGTGTGTAACAGACATGGATGAAGAATGAACCAATTACAACAAAATGGTTTCTGTGCTCACCTCTGGGTTGAGAAATTGTGAAGGACTCTGAGTTTTTTCTTTAAATTTCTAGGTATTCCCTTTCTCAAACTGAGCATTTATTATATTCACAAACAGATAAAAAGCAATAAAATTACCAATATATAGAAAAGAATGTGTGCAAAGGATGGATGTCTGAAGGCTTCCTGACCTTCGTGGTTCCCTGGCCCCCACACTGTACGGGGAGATAGTGGCCTGCACAGCTGCCGCGGGGCCGGGAGCCCCACCTTGGTGGGCCCGACTCGCAGCCAGACAGTTGTGAAGCTCTCTTCTCCGTCGTCAACACTTCCAGCAAAGCTCTGAGGCATGGCCTCTCTCAGTTCCAACTTTCCAGGGGCCTCCTCTGAGGTTTTGATTTAGGGTCAGAGGGCCTGGCTCAATCCACAGACATGGAGACTGACATGCTTGGAAGTACTCAAGCATGTGAGCAGGCAGCATTGGCTGCCACGATCAGCCCCGTCCTGCCCTGAAGATTCTGAAGGGTCTCAGGCACCCTCTTGCCCTCTCTTCAGTAGACTCACTAGTTACAGGTCCTTGCTCTGGTGTGAAGACTACTCTGTGAGAAGCATATTAGAGGAACAGTGAGCTGGCAATCGTTGGCCTCTAAGCCTTCCTGCATTTCTACTTTCCATCTCAGCCCACCGGTGTTTTGGATGCGTAGGGGTATATCTCAACACTAATTTTGCCTTTCACTCTGAGAAACCAGAAAGCTCAAAACCAAATCTGAAATCATTTTTTTTTCTCTCTCCTTTCATGTCTCTAAAATTCTATGTTTAAAAATATAATTTCTATTTTCTTGATTTGATTACTTGTTACTTATAGAAACTCCAAAAATCCTTTTGGAGAGAGAGTGGGGAACGACCGCTGACTCAGTCATTGACTCAGAAAACTGCCATCACTATGCTCTCAGCACCTTCGTCACAACTCCCCCTCCATGGTGTCCCCTGCTCTGCCCACCCCACCACCCCCACCACCCCTGCCTGGGGGCAGAGCCATTCCCTTGGGTCACAGGGTGAGCAAAGGGCTGCTGGTTCGGCTCAGGCGAAAGTCACAAACACTGATGCCAGTTCACTTGCGCAGTTTCCCCCCCCCCCACCTTTCTCCATTTCCCCCAGACATAGATTAATCACAAGTTAATAGAAGCCGAAAGCTGAACAATACAGGAATCTTTTCAGGGTGGAATTTTCTGCCTTTTTTTCTCCTGGCTGCTCTGAGATTTCTATCAATGCTGCATCTGTTGGCTAAATCAAATCTTTCAAAGGTAATCCACGATCATGGCCGCTGGAATTCGTCTATGACAATCCAATTGTGGCGGGGACATGGACATGGTCTGACACACAGGCGCTCACTTTCTCAAGGTTATTCCTTGATGAAGGAGGGAGGCTGCTTTGTGTGTGCTACAAAGCGTTTACAAAGGGAATAAAGCATTGGGGAATTTCTCTGGCCACTTTTTCCTTCCCAGGGCACTTGGGCTCAACCTCTTTGAAGCGTCCTCTCCAGAAGGGCACAGAGCAGAAAGAGGCTGGGGCGAGTTGAGGAGAGTTTTCTTTGGTCAGGGGTTGGGAGGTCTTTGTTTCTCTAAGAAAGATGCTCAGGGCTTCCCTTGCAAGACATCTTGGTGGGGCTCTTGCAGAAGCCAGGGGGGCAATGAGGCAAGGCTGCTGAGGACCCCACACTGCATCTTTTGGGGAGCTGAGTGGAAGCTTCACTTGAAAAGACCACAAGAAAACTTTTACCCTTACTGGGCTGATGAAAGGTGATAGATTGGGAACCTGAGACAGAGGGGGAAAGTACACATATCAGGACACTGGCTCAGACACAGGTAGTTCTAAGGCCAGGATCCAGGGGTCCCAGACCCACCAAAACCTGCAGCTTAACTGCCTTAGGAGTAGGAGTCCTAGAGTCATCCCTCTGCTTTTCTTAGATCCCAAGAGAAGGCTCTAGAATGGGACAAAGGCTCACGAGAAGAGAGGAGTGACCTGTGTCCACACAGAGGAAGACAACTGTTCTCTGTGTCCCTGAGAACAAAGCCAAGTGCAGCAAGAGAGAGGTTGAGTGGGATCAGAGGTTCTCCACCTTGGGCAGTCCTGCCTCTCCCTACCCCATCCAGGTGTCTCCCTACCCCATCCAGGTGTCTCCCTACCCCATCCAGGTGTCAGGACTGGGGGTCGGGGTCGTGCTACTGGCATCTACGCTGCTAAACATCCTGCAATGCACAGGACAGCCGTCCATGACAAAGAATTATCCAGCGCAAAACCGCCATAGTGGAAAGGCTGAGAAATTTCGAGTTAGACCAAATAAAAACTTGGTGGGTGCTGGGGGCTCAGTCACTGAGGCAGTGTGCCAGGAGAAAGTGGTGAAATGTTAGAGCTTGGGCAGAAGCACCCTAGAGGAATGGGCTGTTGAAGATGGAGTCAGTGGTTCTTTCTCCTGAAGGTCCGCTCTGTGCCAGGCGCCGTGCAGCGCTGAGGCTGCAGAGGGGGGCCAGCCCACGCTGTGACAACGCTCCCGAAAGGAGGCGGTCAAGTAGACCCGGAGGAACCCGGCCTGGGGGCTTGGCTGCTGGGCGCCCGGGAGCCCCCACGCCTAAGAAGTGCTGCTGCTCCCAACCCCTGAAACGTGACACGTGTTAAAGAGAGTAAAGCAAATAATCATCAATATTGAATGGGCTGAGATTAGCGGCGGCGAAGAGGGAGTCCTTTCAGATTAATAATGCATTGAGGACTCCTTCAGAGGAGGGGTAAATTATGCAGGGCACGCTTGCTCGGGCACGGGAAGAAAACAATAGCTCTTTAATTTGGGGGTTAGTTGGATCTCCAAGGCAGGGACTATTCCTGCATTGGATCTCAGTGACAGTCTTGCTTCCTGTCCCTGACACGGACCTCCCTNCCCCTGGCCAGCCATGTGGAAACCCTGTGTTTAGAGCCTGGGAGCTCTCACTGGGCCCTCCAGACCTAGCCCAGAAGCCACCTCCTCCAGGAAGAGGTTCCTGATGCTGCCCGTCCACCCATGGAACAGTCTGAGGCAGCTGTCCAGTGCCCCTGACCAGCCATGTGGAAACCCTGTGTTTAGAGCCTGGGAGCTCTCACTGGGCCCTCCAGACCTAGCCCAGAAGCCACCTCCTCCAGGAAGACTTTCCTGACCAGTATGCTTTCTGTTCAGAGCCCTTGGTAATAGTTGCTCGAGCACATGACACAACAGGGCCAGCCAGATAAATTTTGTTGATTCTAAGATGCTTTTTGCCCCACATTTTCATAGCTCTGATGGGTGTGCTATGCAGTCAATGGTATGTCATGGTTCAGATGTAGTAGTACATACAATAAAGCAGAGCCTCACTACTGGTGTTGCCTTGTATTTGAAGAAATACGGTAGAAGATGCTCAATGTGTGTGCACATGTGTGTGTGCATGTGTGCGTGTGTGTGTGTGTAGGGGAGGGGTGTGTGTTCCAGACTCAAGTTCCTGAGGGCTGGACAGGTGTTACGGAGCACTTTCTTTTCTCGTGGTCAGCCCTGCAGGCTCTCAGTGTTTGTTGAATGAATAAGTGAATCAATGCTTAAGTCGTGTACAGGTCAGCTCCGTTGGCTCCAAGGCCCCCTGCTAATGGTTTCCTTTCCAACCTTCTGCCATTGCAGACAGCACTGCCTGAGCCACTCAGCTCTAGGAATGGTTTCCTTTCCAACCTTCTGCCATTGCAGACAGCACTGCCTGAGCCACTTAGGTCTAGGAACTAAGGACTGAGGACAGATTCTGTCTAAGCCGTAACACTTGCGAAGATGCCTCTGCTTACAGTGACCAGAGGCTCCTGGGTGATGTGTGGAGAAGTAAAAGCTGGAAGTGAGGAGGAGCTGAGGCTGAGTCCTAGCCGTCCTGGAGACAAGGCTACAGGCAGAGACCTCTCTGGCCTGAAAACAGCAGCAACACCCATGGCCCAGGGCAGCCGGTCCTCCCCTGAGCTGTCCTGCAGGCTGGAGGGAAGGAGAGTCCCCTCACCCTGCACCATCCTAATAAGAGTCAGCCACATAAAAGGCTGTGGAAGCATTTATCTGGGGCCCGACAGCCTCATCTGTTACCAGAGGGCGGTGCCAACTGGTGCAGGAAGTGGGAATTGAAGGGAGCTGGGGGAGGTGGCCCAGGGCAGCTCTGGCTTCTCCACTTCCAGGAAGCAGGGGTGGGGCCAACATCAGTTCAGGTGTCCCCGAGCCCTGAAGGGCAGAGAGCAGGGCAAGGCTGGCCCCAAGCCAAGACCCTGATGCGGGCCTGCCCTTTGTCCCTCCTGCTCTTCTACCCTAGCCAGGGCCAGAGGGGACAGCTCTCTGCAGGCCCCAGGTGAGCCATCCTGAAGGTTTCTTCTGAAAACACTGACCCTCTATGGCTAAAGCCCCGTGCTTCTGCCCTGGTAGTTTGGTTTCTGGGCTCCTTGGGGTTGGGAGACAACTTGGTTAGATGTGGACTGTGTGGAGGGGAAATCTTTTCCAGGAAAATGCCCACAGGGCCTGTGGTACCCCAAGCTCAGCCTCAGCCCCCCACGATTGCATGGCTGCACCATGCCCACCCTGCTTCCATGAGGGTCACCAGGCACCCTCTTGCTCTTGTGTGTGGCCTATGTTCGATGCCAGCAGCCAGGTTCAACGCTGGCAACCGGGAGTGGTGGACGAGCAGGCGACCTCAGTCCTCGTCTTGACCGACAGAGTGACCTTGGCTTTCCCTTCTCTGATCAGACTGGCCAGTGATGGTGATCGCCAAGGTCCCAGCTCTGCCACTGCCTGCCCAGATAACCCAGGTGGAGGTGGTGGCTTGTGCCCTGAGAGCCCCCTCTCCACCAGGGCCCCCCAGTCCCTGTCCCTGGGCTCCCCTATCCCCGCTCAGGTCGTACCTAACGGTGTTGTCGGCATCGCAGGGGCAGGGCAAGCTGCAGGCTGGGCCGTGCAGGCCCTCGGGGCACAGGCGCTCCTGGCAGCGCGGGCCTTTGTAGCCGGGTTCACACGCGCAGGCGCCGGAGCTGGGGGAACACTGACCTCCGTTGTGGCAGTCACAGCGCTGGGAGCACTGGAAGCCGAAGGTCCCCAAGGGGCATTCCTCTTGGCACCTGCAGGACAACAGAGTATGGTTAGTCCGTTCCTCGGACCTGCCTTTCCAGATCCATCCGGCACGCACCCCCCTGCCTCCTCACACCCTCCTCCCCTCTTCCCTTTCCTCCTGCAGGAAGTGCTCTGTGGTTCCACCATTCTAGTCCATTCCCCTCTCCAGGCCAGTTCCCCTCAGAGTGAGTTCCTACTATCATAGTTCACTGATTGCAGGCTTTGTGGATTTGTGGTTTTTTTTTTCATTTTTTTGACTGCAGTAAATAAGGCTAACATAAATTTGCCATTTTAATTATTTTCAAGTACAGAGTGGTATTAAGTAGATGTATATTGTGTGGGTTTTCCAGGTGGCTCACTAAACACTATGCCTGCCAAAGCAGGAGATGTAAGAGACGTGGGTTCGATCCTTGGGTGGAGAAGATCCCCTGGAGGAGGAAATGGAAATCCACTCCAGTATTCTTGCCCTGGAAATCCCACGGACAGAGGAGCCTGGGGGGCTACGTCCGTGTGGTCACAGAGAGTCGGACACGACTGAGTGAGCTCAGACATACAACGCACACTGCTGTGCCACCGTCACCACCATCCATCCCTAGAACCTTTTCATCTTCCCAGACTGAAACTTCTGTACCCATTAAATGACAAACCACATGAAGTCCCATGGCCAGAGGAGCCTGGCAGGCTACAGTCCACGGGGTCGCAGAGTCAGACATGACTTGGTTAAGAGCATGCACGGATGTGGATTCATTGTCACAGCAACAAATTAAGCGGTAAACCTGGGGGCATTTGAGGAAAGAGATGGGCCACCCCTGCATCCTAGAGACAAACGAACAGAAATGGCCTATGGACTTTGGATTATCTGCGTCCCCACACTGCTTCAAAGGTGTGGAGAATGGGGAACTGGCCTTACTGCCCTGACACCTGCTTCCTCATCACAGAATGGGATGGTAATAATTAAACCTCACCATGTGTTTGAGGATTAAATGAGATAACATGTATAAATATTTAGAAAGGTGCACCATGAATGGTAAGTGCTCAATAAGAAGTGTTAGTTCTTATTATTACTCTTGTTAATATTGTTCTCTGTAGTTCTCCTAACAGAGCCGTTTTGTCACGAAAAGGCTCAAAGGGAAGACTTCCAAAATGTTAACAATGGAATGGACTTAAGGAATTACGAATGCTTTAATGATTATGTTTTTCCATTTTCAGGTTTCTATTTATCTTCTACAATAATCAGGGCAGAGGGGAGCCATAAAAGATGTTAGGGGAAAAGAATACAGCCTTAGCCTCTTTATTAAATCTTGGTGAGTTCTGAGTTGGAAGCAGTGTTCTTCATCACAGCACCCAGATTGTCTTCCTGCAAGTCTTGCTGCATTTTAGCCCACTGAAGCCTCAGGGAAGGAAAGAACAGAAAAGAAAGGAAGAGGGAAGAGAGAAGGGGATATGTGGAGAAGAAATGGGAGGTAGAAGAGAGGAAGGAAGAAGGGAATAAGATGGAAGGGGTGAGGGTGGAAACTGAGGCAGCCGAAGGAAGAGGACACAGTGCAGTTGAAGCATTGGACACTGCCAGCCCCAGTTCTGCCTCACAATGGATTTCCCCGGAAGTCACTCAGGTTGCCTGGATGTCTCAGGCCATCAGGGAAGAAACCCCAGTCTGGAGACACCTCCAGACTCTTCCCTTTCACTGGAACGTTCCTGCTCCCTACCCCCTGGCAGGATTGAGTAGAGAGAGTCCTAGAGCGTGAGCTCCCCTCTCTGAAGGGCACGTCTCCACCCCATGTCATATTTACAAAGTGACACTCCATAGCCCCAGAAAAAGAATCTGGAAATGAAATATTGACAACCTAATCCATTTACATAATCAGCTTCTTTTTTTTTCTACCCACAATTTAAACAACTTATTTATTTAGAGATCAAGCAACGACTGCTAATGAATTTTACACAAAGCATGCTAATAACGGGGACTGTGGAACAGAAGGGTAATCACAGCAGGAATTAGTTTTCTACTTAAACATCCTTCCTTTGCAACATATCAATCTAATGTGTCCGATATTACCATTAACAACCAGATACATTGCTCAATTAAATTACAAAATGAGCTGCAAAACCCTCGTTACGTTTCATGTTTAATTTGCACTGGATTCTGCCTATCCGGGGAGGCCTGCATTATTATACCCACTCAACTATAATATGCTCACAATGATGTGGGGTGGGTTCATGCAGCTGTCACTTACAAAATTAATGGAGGCAATTTTACAAAATATTAAACACCAGGCAGCCCGTTTAGGTGGGAAACCCAAATGTTACTGGGCCCTGTTTTTGTATTCTTTTCCTGGAGTTGATGGGCAGAGCTTGCCAGAGGACTTGAGGTCTGAGGGGCTTCACTCTGTCTCAGGTTCCTAGGCTGGGTCCCAACATGAGGGATTAGGGTCATTTCTCCATTTGGTACATCTTGGCTGTGGAAATGGAAAGCGCCGATGAGGTTGGGTCTCCTGGTGTGGAGTCTAGCTGGTTGGAGCTATCAACCTGCTTATCTCCAATGGTGAATGGGTTGTTGGCCATCATGTGCAAGACAAGAGGTCCTGTTTTGGTTCCAGGGTCTTCCAGTTCCTGCCCCTGCTGGCTCAACCTGAGCATTTTCTCATTGGGGGAGACAGTGGGGATGGGAAGGTGGGCACAGCATTTCAGTCCTGCCTCCCTTCCTTCCCTCAGAGACGCAGACTCCAGCAGAGGTCAGAGGGGGATGGGTCCCCTGATGCCACACCCCACATTCTATGCCAGGGATGCTCACGAGATGAACACTAGCTCACCAAGATCTCAGATCTGGCTTAAAAGCCTCCAGGCTAGGGGTAAACAAGCTTCAGGCTGAAAATGGAAAATCTCTTTTCTGGACATCACTAAGGATTTGGGGCTGACTCCAGTGAGAGCTGGAGGAGCCCCACTATGTTGGTCAGAGCCAGAAGGACTCACTGGTTAATCCAGTCCTAACTCTTGCTTCCTGATGTTACCTGGGCAGGGGAGGCAGAGTAACAAAATCCAGAGCAACAAAATCCAGGTGAAACATGAATCCCACAGAAGCAGGCAAGGGGTGTGAGAGTTTCCTTTCTACTGCCCATCTCTCTGCTCAAGGAGACAGATGTGGTTCAGACTGAGAGGGAGGAGATTTGTCTGGATTCTGTGGGCGAGGGTCCTCCACCAGTTTTGAATTCACTCACCATCAGATGCCCTGGCTGTCGTTTCTCCTTCTCCATCATCATGGAATCCCTCTCGTCATGGCAAACGCACATGTCTGGTAACGCTCCCGTTATGTATTTTGTGGGTTATTCACTTGGCAAGGTTAATTCGATTCCAGAACATTGGTGGCCTTGTTCAGTCTGCTCTTAGGCCACAAGGCCTTCAGAGGATGCAAACTGATGTCAGTATCCTTTTGGCAGAACTCATATCAGGAATAAAAATCTACTTCTAAAAAGAATAGTGCAAAATGTGTGAACTGAGAGTGCATGCTCAGCTTCTTCGGATTATCGGTGCTGCTGTCTCCCTTCAGAAGGGCAGCAAGTAGAGGGTGGAGGTAGGTGCCCACCTCCTCCCCCAGGTGAGTCAATGCAAATTCTGGGCTTGGGTCCCTGGGTGCCCTCAGCAGGCTGAGGGCCAGGAAGGATGGATTGGCAGGAGGACTCAGAATGCTTTCTGAGAAAGGAACAGGAAAGCTGGGCAGAAGGCTGGTAAACCTGACCTGTTGTCTGCAAGGCTGCCGTGAAAATGAGTAACGTGACCAGTAAGGACGATAGCTGACAGCATCCTTACCTGTCTCCCATGTATCCGGCTGTGCAGTGGCACTGCCCAGTCACGTGGTCACACTGCCCTCCGTGGTGGCAAGGACAGTCCTGGCTGCAGTTCTGGCCGAACGTCCCCGGTGGGCAGGGCTGGGCACACACTGCTCCCTGAAACACAGGAGGGAAGACCTGCAGAGGTGGTGCTTCTGAGATGCGATCCTGAGGCCACCTTCTTCTAGAAGTAGCACGGTTGCTAGAGCCCAAGGGACCACCCCTATCCCTTAGCTGGACCTTCCCCCCGATCACAGAAGCACAGAAAGTTGGACACCATGACTCCAAAGCCACATTTTAGAGATGGGCAGACTGAGGCCCGTTTGCTTATCCAATCATTCAGCACATATTTAATGAGCGCCTGTCGTGTACCAGACCCTGTACTAGACTCTAGGGATATGAAAACAGGTAAGATTTGATTCCTGTCCTTCCAGTCCACTGGGGAGAGAGACAAGAAAACAGGTAACTCGTGCACAGTGCTAGGTGCCCTCACACTGGTCCACGAGAAAGTGCTGAGGGAAAAGAAAGCGGAGACGTGATTAAACACAGTGATGAGGAAACATACATTTATCTCTACTTCTTTCCCAAACCCAGCTACCAGAAGAGTAAAGAGTAAACCCGGCTACCAGTACCAGGGGGGGACACATAAACCTCCAAGGAGAAAAGGAAGGAGAGAGGGGACCACAGAGCACAAGAGGTATCACGCGGTGGAAGATGGACCGGCAGATAGAGGAACAGGATCTGCTGGGGTTTCTGCTTTCTCAGCAATGGCTAGAGCCTGCAAACGGAGCGTGGGAAGATAAAGCCCAGAAAAGCTCAGGGATCAGAGATACCAGGGGCCTCTGAGGGTCAAGGCGCCGGTGTGCTGGAACAGGAGGAGCGTTTGGAGGTTTATAAGAGAGGGAATTAGACCCCAGATTTTTACCCCCATTTCAAATAGCCTTCCCAAGACTAGCAGTTTACCTTTAGGGAGGCTGACCCACGAATGCTTCAGACATGGGGACAGCAAGCACAGCCAAGGGCTGGGGCCATCAGAAACGGGGATCTTGTGGATCTGCCTGCATAAGTCAGACCCTCTTCTCTCTTCCCCTTCCCCTACGATTCTAGTGACCAGACTGCTCCCTCTCGCAGGGTCCTGGAGGATTCGTTTCTGGGAACGCTGAGAGCTCAAGGGGAAAGACCTACCGATACTGATATTTAAGGCTCCTACCAGTCAACAAGCCTGGCACCTCTCCTGCCCCTCAGGCTTCCAGCTGACTTTTCCAAGGATTACGGTAAAACATGAACAGGAGACCAGAAATCAGCAGATACTTGAAATGAGGCTCTGAGTTGGGAGATGGTGGTAAAGCATGTTTTGGAGAAATATGGAGGGAAACGCCAGAAGAAACACCTAAAAAAATTGAATCTGGTATCTTTCAGGAGTAGGACCTGTCAGAGGGTCAGACAGAGGACTATTTTCCCTTCCTTCCAGTAGTAGCCTTGTGGTATGAGATACTGTATATAATTTTAAAATTATTCATATGACTCTTTGGTCTTTATCAAACAGGAATAAACTTACTTTTGTCTCCTGCTGCCCTTTTAGCCTCTCCCACACCAGAGATGGTCATTTCTCTTACGGAGATCAAGGATTCTCCCACAATTAATTAATCAATTAGTTCAACACACAGTTATTAAGCACCGATAATTGCCAAACCTGAGGAAGCTAGTTTAGTCAGGAAAATCCTGCTGACCAGAGTCATCTATCAATATCATCCAATTTACTTGTAATGAATTAAGCAGTAGGCCTTTTAACTCAGATTTCTCCCCTACATATAAGTCAGATAGTGTGGGGCTGACCCCTGATCAGTATTCCCCACCCACAGCACCCCAGGTCCCTATAATACTCAGTCCTCCTCAGGCTCGAGCTCCTGGGGCTACTGCCTGATAGGGTGGGAAGAACATTGGACTCAAAGTCAGGACTTGGGCTCAAACCCCAGGTCTACCTCCTTCCAGATGGCCGAGTGAGGACAGTCGTGTGATAGTTCTGAGCCGCAGTTTCCACATCTCTAAAATGGGAGTGGTAACCCCCAGTGTCCCAGGTGATTGTAAAGATTCAGTGGGATCAGAGATGGGAAGGAACCTTCATTAAATTAGAGACGAGTGGGCCCTTCATTAATACTCAACCCAAGCAGACCCCTGATGAGGTGGAGGTGGTAGGAGCCCAGTATCACCTGGGACAGAGAAGAGTGGGGGAGGACCACATGATCGGTAGGTTACTGCTGGTTAGAAGAATAGCTTTTGGGGAGAGACAGGGGAGGAGAGCAGACAGGAGAGTATCAGCCTGAAAGAGGGCTGTGATCTTACGGTTTCTTTCCTGCTATTATGAACTGAGTTGTGTCCCCCAGGTTCACATATCCTAACTCCCAGCACCTTAGAATGTGACCGTGGCTGGAGACAGGGCCATTAGAGAGGCAATAAAGTTAAAGTGAGGCCATCAGGGCGGCTCCTAGTCCAATATGACTGATGTCTTCACTGGGAGGAGAGGTTAGCACAGACAGGGCAGAGGGAAGGCCACGTGGAGACACAGCGAGAAGACCACCAGCTACAAGGCAGGGGCTGAAGCCCGAGCAGGAACCGACTCTGCCGACACCTCGGTCTCAGACTTCCGGCCTCCCGAGCTGCAAGGAAACATTTCTCTTGTCGAAGCCCCCCAGTGTGTGCTGCTTTGTAATGACAGCCCTAACACACCTGCCCTGAAGTCAGCTGAGTGAAGTCTCCTAGAGCGGCGGGATCTCAGGCAGTGTGGCATGGAGAAGGTGGGGGAGATGCAGTGAGGCAAGAGTCCTGTTCCTCAGGACGAGGTGGACCAAATGGTTCTGTCCAAATCTGGAAACCAGCTGCACATAAAGAAGACCATGGATAAATGGAGAATAAGAAAGGAGGGGGCCAAGATGGTGAGGGACTTGAGGTTAAGCCAATAAGACAATGCAGCCTCTCCAAGCATCTAATGATCACTGCTGTCCCGGGTGGAATGGACGCCCTCAGGGGAAAGTGAACAGTGGTTGGCTTGGGTGCTGTGGAAATGATCCAGGCCATACAGGTCAGGCTTGGGACTCCATGAACAAAACTTCCTAAACCTGAGCTTCTAGGATTTTACAAATTCCTCTCTTTGCTCCTCCATGATGATTGGTTCTATTTCCCAGCTCTTGAGGCCTGTTGTTTCCTGAGTGTATATGTGTGTGCATGCACATGTATGTGTCCAGCCTCCACCATCAGACTGGGAACTCCTAAGGCAGGCATATCTCCTACCTCCCATCCATCTGCACTTCCCACTTACAGTGAACTCCTCACACCTGGGTCTCCTCCTCTGAAAGGTCTCAAAGCCCAGAAAGAGAGAGGAAACAGCCCCCTAGGCTCTTCGCAGAGCCCCTCTGGGAACGGGCTCACCACAACTGGGCAAGAGTCGTGTCCTGTGGGCATACACCAGATTGCCCACACACCTGTGGGCATACCCCTACTGGCCAGGGGTCCCTGAGGAAGGGGCCTGGGGGGCCAGGGTTCCAGGCAGCTCCTCTCCAGGTCTGCATGAAGCCTTGGTTCTTTGGGGACCTGCTCTGTGTGAGGGAGCAATCGTACTCTTTAGATCTCTGAGTGCGGCTAAAGCCACGTGGGGCTGGCAGGCAAATGAGACGATGGAAGATAATAAAGGGAGGACCAGTCTGCCCTGCAACATCCCCTTGGCCCCAGCCCTCTCCCTGAGAGGGGTCTCAGGCCCCAGCAGCAGCTTCATTACACTGTGACTGCATGCACAAGAGGTATTAATAATTCATACAAATCTGCAAGTTAAATGCTCTGTCAAAAATAGAAATGCAATTGTCTACAATAAAATTAAAAACATGAAGTTCCTAAATCCAAAGGCCGCTATTGACAGAGTTTCCTGTCATCTGAAAGAACAAACCTCTCACTGTGTTGGGAGGGGAAAAAAATTATCTGTGTTGGTTTCCTCCCCGCCGCCCTCTTCAATCACCAGCCTCCCTCAGTCTCCAATCTCTCTAGAGAGGACTTTACAGGTACAGGTCTGCCGGTGGCCTGTTCTCCCCCTGCCTCAGCCTGATCTGACCTCACTGCCTGCTGCTGGGCCTCTGGGGACGCAGCCTGCGAGTGATGGAATTCCGGAAGTTGGCTGGAGATGAGAAGAGAGAGAGAGAGAGAGAGATCCCGGGCCCAGGACGGTCTACAGTGGAGTCTGGGAATCTGTATTAACCCCACCCCACCCCCATCCACTGCAACTCTGGTGCGCAGCCAGGTTGGGACAAGCCTGGACCATATGATCCCCCATAGAGCAGGTTTTCTCCTGCTGTAAAGAATTCTGGCCAATCTGCCTGCGTCACAGGCCCTGTAGCTGTCCCTCCTGCTTCCCCCCACCCCCCACCGTGACCTCGTGTTCACAGCCTCCTGAAATATCCTGCTCCTCCACAGCCCTGTCCCTTCCTGGCTCCACAAAGCCTCGGGCCCCAGGGGAGGCAGCCGACTGTGTCACTGAGCTTCCCTGAAATGGGAAAGTCAGCCGCAGTGACTCGCTGCTTCTGAGGGGCTTGGGACTGCAGACTGTGGGGACACTGACAGGGGAACAGGCTGGCTTAAAGGAGGCTGTGGCTTGCCTGTGGCATCCAAGGACATAGAAAATGAATAACGGTAGAGCATTTCAGTGTTTGCAGGGCACCTGGGACCTACACTGCCCTCATCTGAGCCTTCTGCCAACCGTGCCGCTCTGACGCACGGGGCTGACTGTTTTTATGCCAGTTTGTTTTCGTTTTGGCCCCACCGCACGGCATATGGGATCTTAGCTCCCCAACCAGGGATCAGAGCCTCCCTCCCTGAAGTGGAAGTGTGGAGTTTTAACCACTGGTTCACCAGGGAAGCCCCTGATTTTATGCCAGTTTTACAGTTACGGAAGCAGAGACTAGAATGATCGAGGGTTTTTTTTTTTCAGGGCCAACACTGTAATGTGAAGCCTGGATTCAGGCCTGTAATGTGATAAATCCCATCCCTCTTTCCCACAGTGGTTGTTCCCAGACAAGAGACCTGGACTGGTGGAGGCTACCTCAGAGTTACCTGGAGCCCACGTTAAGATACAGATCCTGGGGCCCACAGAATCAGAATATCTGTGTGCATCTGTGAGTATAGGGGTTGGAGGCTGGGAATCTGAAGTTCTATAAAGGCAGGGGGGCCATGCCTGCTCTCTCCCTTCCCCTGCACCACCTCCATCCTTACACTATGGCCTTTTCACCACATCTCAGAGCCATGGCAGCTCAAGTGAGTATGCTGAAAGACAGAGACAACTTATGAGAAGAATTCAACCCCTTTGCACACAAGGGATCACAGGTTCAGAAGGTTAAGCAACTTGCTTCAGATCACACAGCATTCAGATACGAGCCCTGGCAGTCAAAGCTGTGTCCATGGCCCCCCTGGCAGTGTCTAATGGTCCCCATGACCATAAAGAGGAGGGAGGCTCTTCAGGATGGGAGAGGAATTTAGCCCTCCAGGCTGCATGTGAACGAGGGATGCTCAGACCTCTTACAGAGCCCCACCCGGTCCTGCAGGTCCACCTACCGTCCAGCCTGGGGGGCAGGCACACTCGCCAGTGATGTGGTGGCAGGTACCCCCATTCTGGCAGGGGCAGCGCAGCTCACAGTGAGCCCCATGGCTCCCAGGCGGGCAGAGCTCCTCGCAGCTGCATGGAGAAGCAGAGGTGTGAGAGGCGGCAGCATGCAAAGCCAGTCCCAAGGCTCCTGGACTCCCTAGAAGTCAGTGAGCTTCTGGTCAATGTGAACTATACTAGGTACAAGTCCAGGATGGGAAAGAGGGACTCAGATAGTGTCCTTGGAGGCTGTGTGCTTGGGCCAGTACGGGGGATGACGTAAGGGCTTTCGGTATAAAGAAGAGGGCTCTTCCAGGTGGGAAAGCGGAGGAAATCTTCCCTGAGAGGGAGATATTTTACTTGAGTCTTGAAGGTGAAGTTAGTTCCACTGGGAGAAGGGGAGGAAGGCTGAGCTGGGCAGAAGGAACAGGACAAGCAGAAAACATGAGACATAGCCATGAGTCCAGCCTTTGAGAATCTGCCTAGATTCTGAGAGAGGAGAATGCGGGGCAGGCCTCCACTCCCTTCCAGGCTCTGGAAGGCTCTCAGCCCCCACAACAGGCTTCTCTAGAAGGACTGGGCATGGCTGAGATGCAGGGGAGGATCTGCATGTGGCCTTGGTCCTGGGCCTTAGCTCAATGCCTTGGCCCTGGAGCTGGTCAGACATGGGGGCAGGGGGACCCCCCCCCATCAGAGATGTATCTGTGGCCAGATTCCTTGGTCGCTCCCTCAGGATCTAGGGCAGTTGAGGTGGCCACTGAGCCTTTGATAGGGTGGCGAGGAGAACGTCAATCTTGCCTCTGAGGGGTCACAATTACCCTGTCCATGCAGACTCCCTCTCCTGAAAACTGGATGAAGGGAAAAGGCAGGGGAAGAAGGCCAGGCACAGTAATCTCCCCAAATCTAAGCATGATATCTGCCCAAGGCCCTCACCCCTCTGCCTCAAATGGCCTGGAAGGCTCAGTAATGGCACTTGGATTATGATCAGAAGAGAATTCCAAGCCAAAATCTGGAGCCCAGATCAGGAAGGGTCTCCTAGAAGAAGGTTTAGCCAGCTTCTCCCGCCATGAGAGCATCCACCCATGGGTCCTCCAAGCCACTTTCAGTCACCCTGGGCCCTGGACAGCAGGGATCTGAGAGCTGTGTGGGTGAGGCCCGGGAGTTCAGCCTCTGCAGGACTTGGGGCCAGAGCGCAGGAGATTTTACAGCCAGGGCTTTCTTGATCCTTCACGTGTTTCCCCATCCTACCTTCCCAGCCACCCCTCCGCGTGCGTCCCGCCTGGGCTTTACTCACTAGACGCCGGTGTAGCCGGGCGCGCAGAGGCATTCGCCCGTGCGGGGGTCGCAGCTGGCGCCGTGGCGGCACTGGCACGGCAGCTGGCAGCCCTTGCCGTGGGTGCCCGGCGCGCAGAGCTCCTCGCAGCGCCAGCCTCGGAAGCCGGCGGCGCACACGCAGGCGCCCGTGATGGGGTTGCACAGGGCACCGTTCTGGCACTGGCACCGGTTGCTGCAATGCGGGCCCCAGTGGTCGCTATCGCAGCCTGTAAGAGAGGAGCGGGTCAGGACGGAAGGATCCCCGTGGACTCTCCTGGATGGGGGCTGGGACCAGCCTTCCCATCTCTGCATCACTCTTCCCTCGACAGGAGGCAGCAAGGGGGTTCTGCCGGGAGGGGAGCATTCACCAATAACCTCCATCAGCTGGTCATCAACCTCTACCCACCTCCCCTAAATAATCAAACAAGCTCAGAAGTTTCTTTTCTCAATGCATCTCTTAGTCAGGGTCATTCCAGTCCAACCAAGACTGGTCAATCCAGTCTCCCAAACCCCTCTTCTGTATGGAAACTCTGGAACCATAAGCTATTTAACCTTTGCCAAGCTCTTCTTGGTGGGCTCTCTCTCCCTCTCAGCCAGGCCCTTTCTCTTCGAGCCTGCCTCCCCCTTTCTCTGTGACTCTATCCTCCTTCTTGGTGCTGCCCCAGCCCAGCTCCCATCTCTCTCTTTCCACCTCTTCCTGAAACATTACTTTGTCTCACAGCTTGCATCTCACTCTCTGTGAACACGTCTTCTAACTCCCTGCCCCTCCCTGGGCTCCACTCCCTGTCACCCTTCCCATCTCTCTTTCATGCTGCGTCTCCCTACCGGTAATGCTGACACCCCTGCTTCCTTCATCTTCAGTTCAATCTCATTACTTTCTAAGCAGCTAACTGCAGAAGGGGCAGGAAAAAGAAATGTTTCCCTGGGAGGTGACAGACAGCCTTGAAGATCTTTATATGTAATTAAATGTTTCACAGAGTGATAGCTGAGCCAGCTTTGCAGAAATTCACACTCTGTGGCTGGGGAGAGGGGCTGAATGGCAGTCTTCAGGTAGGTCGCCCAGCCTGCTACCACTCACGAGTCTGACCCTCACCTGACGCATACAGGACACACAACAACAAGATGTCCTCAACTCTAACCCCATTCTCTCAAATCCTGGAGTAGGGGTACACGTGGAGTTCAGGCAAGGACAGGCATAAATAATGTACTAGGAGATGTTCAATGGAGAAAAACACTGCTCCCAGCTAAGGAACCAGGCTCTTCTTAGAAGAGATGGCACCTGAAGTGAACCATAAAAGATGTCCATCAGAGTGACCAAAATGTCCTGTGTTACCATGGAAAATCCCTCATTCTGAGAAATCTTTCAGTGCTGGGCAAACTGGAATGGCTAGAGACCCTACTGCCTGAAGATAAGGAGATGATTAGTTGACCTTTGTGCTCCAGTGTTTCTAGGATTTAGACACTCAGAAGAAAAGGGGGCAGGTGAGTGGGATTGGGGAAGGTGTCCCAGGGGCCGGCTCAGTATAAGAAATAGATGGTGGTACCCAAGTGTTGGATATGGACAAAAGCACAAGGTTCCAGTGAAGCCAGTGAGTACATGGGATCTTTGGGAACCACAAGGTTGATGGAGAATCACTTTACAGCCCCACCGATCCTCCTGCATTTCCTCCCACTTGCTAACAAAAGTCAAGTGGTCAAAGTCATGGAAACTGTCCATCACTTTTAGTAGATGGAACAACCCTAGGCCTGGAATCCCAATCACCCTATCTTGCCTCATCCCTTTTTCATTGTGCCCCCAATATACATGCAAACTGAGCTGACAAATTCTGAGTGGGCCTCACCCTGCATTTTCCACTTGGTACTATAGTGAGTGAGGCAAAAACCAAGCCCAATAGCCAAAGCAATTTTGAGAAAGAAGATAGCATAACACTTTTTAATTTCAAACAAAGCTATAGTAGCACAAATACTATGACACTGCTGTAAAAACAGAAAAGAGCCCAGAAGAAACTATGCATATATAGTCAATTAACTTACGACAAAGGGGCCAAGAATATACAGTGGGTAAAGGACAGTCTCTTCAATACATGGTGTTGGAAAAACTGGACAGCCACATCCAAAAGAATGAAACTGGACCTCCATCTTACACTATATGTAAAAATCAACTCAAAATGGATTAGAGACTTGAATGCAGGACCAGAACCAAAGAACTCCTAAAGACAACATAGGTAATAATTTCCTTGATATTGGTCTCAGCAATGATTTTTTGGAGTAGACACTTAAAGCAAAGGCAACTGAAGCAAAATCAACAAGTGGGACTACATTAAACTATAAAACTTCTATGCAGCAAAGGAAACCAACACAATGAAAAGGCAAACTACCAATGGGAGAAAATATTTGCAAATCACATATCTCATAAGGGGTTAATATCCAAAATACATAAAGTACTTTTACAACTAAGTAGCAAAATAAATAAATATAAACTCAACCCCAAACAATCTGATTAAAAAAGGGACAGAGGATCTCAATAGACATTTTTACAAAGAAAACATGCAGATGACCAACAGGTACTTGAATAGATGCTCATAATTATCAGGGAAATGCAAATCAAAACCACACTGAGATATTACTTCACACCTGGTAGGTTAGCTACTATCCAAAAGACAAGAAATAGCAAGTGTTTGCAAAGATGTGGAGAAAAAGAAACTTCTGTGCACTGCTGGTGGGAATGTAAGTTGGTGCAGCCACTATGGAAAACAGTGTGGAGGTTCCTCAAAAACTTAAAAATAGAACTACTATACAGTCCAGCAATTCTACCCCTGGGTATTTATCTGAAAGAAATGAAAACACTAACTTGAAAAGATATCTGCACCCCCATGATCATTGCAGCATTATTCACACAAGTCAAGATACAGAAGCAACCTAAATGTTCGTCAGTAGATGAATGGATAAAGAAAATGCGTATACAGGCACACACACATGTATGCACGCATATATGTGTATACCCACACACGTACGAAGCAATATTATTCAGCCACAAAAAAGAAGGAAATCTTGCCATTTGTGACAATGCAGGTAGACATTGAGGACATTATGCTAAGTGAAATAAGTCAGACAGAGAAAGACAAATACCATACAATCTCACTTATATGTGGAGTCTAAAAAACAATGAACAAAAATAGAACTCATAGATACAGAGAACAGTTTGGTGGTTGTCAAAGGTAAGTAGCAGGTAAAAGGGGCAAGGTGGTCAAAAGGTACCAACTTCCAGTTATAAGATAAGTAAGTTCAGGGGATGTAACATACAGCATGGTGACTATAGTTAATAATTCTATATTGTATATTTAAGAGTTGCTAAAAGAGAAGATCTTGAAAGTTCTTATCACAAGAAAAAAATTTGTAACTACATGTGATATTAACTACACCTACAGTGCTTATTGGAGAAGGAAATGGCAACCCACTCCAGTATTCTTGCCTGGAAAATCCCATGGACTGAGAATCCTGGTAGGCTACAGTCCATGGGGTCGCAAAGAGTCAGACACGACTGAGCGACTTCACTTCACTTCACTTCACAGTGGTTATTATTATATACAAACGTCGAATCATTTTGCTGTGACCTGAAACTAATATAAAGTTATATGTCAATTATATCTCAATAAAAAACTGAATACAGTTATCATGACAGCCTGCACTCACACTGTAAGAGGATCAAAGGACAGAGAGTGGGGGAGCAGGCAGCAGACATGTGTCTCCCATGTCACCTTCTCTCTGGAACATCTACTCAGCAAATGGAAAGACTAGCAGAATTACCTAGTGTATCATTTCTCTATCTCTTTTTGTTGCCAAGCACATATAACCAAATTTGCATGAGTTTAACATACATATGATGTGACTCCATTGTAGTAATAATCACCGCCACATTTTAAATGCTCACTTGTGACAATTAAAATGGTGTGAATTAGATTTTATTATTTCTCCATTTCACAGATGAGGAAATAAAGGGTCAGGGAAATTATGTGACTGCCCGAGGTTATAGTCAAGGGTAGGCCAGGCCACTGCCCTCAGGCCTTGTGTTGAACTGTTGGAGTCCAGAGTCAGCTGGTCCCTGGTGCATCCCAGGGCAGACAGTTATATTTCACTTATCAGAGGGGACCTCCATTCACTGTGTCACAACCAAAACCCAGTAAGAAGTAAACCTATGCCTCTGATGAGGGATCTGGATATTGTCATGAAGTCCATGAACTAGCACTTGAGTGCTTTCATTCTTTTACTCGTTCATTCAACCAAGATTTACCAAACACCTAGGGTCAGAAAGTGTCCCACCCTCTTGCAGTTACAATCGAGTGGGGACAGAGCCTCGGAAGGAGCATTTATGGAATGCTGTGGAAGTGCCATGATAAGGGCAGTTCAGGGCATTAGAGAAGAGCATGGAAATGGAATTCCATTAAGCCTGATCTGGGTTCTCAGATCACAGACTGGGGAGTGTCAGTGTGTGTGTGCATGCATATATGTTGTATTTATATGTGTGTATGTATGTTTTATGTGGCTCCAAAAAAAAAAAAAAAAAGCAAGAGCTCTATTCACAGTAGGGGCCCATGAAATAAACAGAAAACATCTGTAGACTGAAAAAGCAAAGTAACTCAGAGTCACGACATAAGAGCAAATAACCCCTCACATCCAAATTGACAGGAAGTCGTTCCATTCAATTTAGAATATTCTGATTAAGGAGGCAGGGAAGTGTGTAATCCATTCCATAGACATTCCCTCTAGAGTGATTAAGTGGGAAAAAAAAGTTAGGGTTCACAGGGATAAGCTTCAGTTATCTTAGAAAATCTACTTAAAAACACCTCATTCCCTACAATGACAGAGAAATGAGGCAGTAAGTCAATTACCTACCCTGTTGAAGGTGAATAAAAACTATCATCATTAAAATTACAACAAGACTTCACATTCTTTCACAGACAAATGCAAACTCTTTCCAATTTGGCTTTGGAATGTCACCCCCTCACTGACTGTTTTTCTGTCTCAGTCACAGATGCTCCTTCCTAATTATATTTGGCTTTGGGTGAATTTTTCGAGTGGGTGCATCTTCTCTGGACAGTGAGTGAGGGCTTAGGGGCACCTGAAAGCCTGTGGCCTGTCTCGTTCTGCTCCTTGAGTCCGGCCAGCTCTTGCCCTTCTCAGCCTGCGCCTTCCCAGCTGACCTCACTGTGCGGCCGGGCCCAGGTCT